CAGATAAGGATTTCAGTTGTGGATGATTGGAAGCAGAGTTGGATGCGGGCGGGTTATGGAGTCGGCCAAAGTTGCTGTACAGGCGAAGACTGTAATGGTTTTGCTATAAATGGAGGCAGCTTGGACTGATGCTGTTTAAACAGATGACACAGGCAGCAGATGGGTTATGAATGAATGAGGTGGAAATGTCATCAGTATATTTTTGGAACTTGACATTTTTCTGATGTTGTCACGGACAGAATGATATGAGTTGAGAAGGGCAAGTTCCTGCTGTGTGTGCTAACTGTACAATAATAATTCTTTGCATCATTATAGAATAACTTCTTCCCTCTTGTACTCCATGTCCTTATTTATGAAACCCTCAAGGCATTTGACCTTTTTTTGAATTTGACAATCTGGATTTGCAATTTCAGTTGAACAGTTGCTGTCTTGGAACTTAGGATGAGGAGGAGACTGTTCATCCCCTGTTTGTCCAATCATCTGAATACTGATCTGTGATCTAACTGCATATTGCTGTAATTGTACCTTTGGCAACAATAAAGTTAAAACCTCAAATCTGAGATTGGCAAATGATAGCGCATCAATTGCCCTTTACAGGTGAATTCCAAACTTATTTTCCTGAAAGGTTTGGCTCTAAATTGTACATTGAACCCAACCCCCTTATCCTCGCCTTCTCAACTGCGATTACACTATGTAGCCTATCTTCTCCCCTTTCATGACCTCCTTACTCGTCTAAATCCAGGTGTTTTTAACTCTGTTTCTCTCTCCTCAGAGGCTACCTGACCTGTTAGGTATTTTCAGCATTTTCTCTTTCTTTATCACAAAATAAGTAATTCTTTGTCAGCAAGGTTCAAGCGACAGGAGTGTAGATTGTAACTTAACCAATAAAACAATCTTCCCCACAACATTCCGTGTCAAAATACTTATTGCAAATTTGTCCTTAGTAATTTGTTGTGCAACATTATCTTGCTTTGGACTTGCCATTGAAAATAACATTTTCGGTGAGGCAGAGTTCCAATATGTCAAGCATGACTTCAGTGAGATTAACAGTTATGTGTGAATTAGTACCAGCTTGCTGATGTAGAGTCCTGTTAAATATTGTCTGCTACTCTAAGGTTTTGGAGTAGATTTGTAGCTCGGGTTGTGGGTGTTGAGGTTGGTTGGCTCGCCGAGCTGGTTTGTTGTTCCGCAGACATTTCGTTACCGTGCTTGGTAACATCCTCAGTGCAGCCTCTGATGAAGCGTCGGTGTGTTTTCCCGCCTGGCTTCACACCGACGCTTCATGAGAGGCTGCACTGAGGATGTTACCAAGCACGGTAACGAAACGTCTGCGGAACAACAAACCAGCTCGGAGAGCCAACCAAACTCAACATTGTCTGCTACATTTGGTGTTTTTTTATTCGGTGGAGTGATTTTCAGCCGTAAAAACATAATAACTACCATTGGAGAAAATGTGCTCGGGAAACTGATGGGGCCAAAGACCATATGACCTCTGGGCCTGATAGATTGCATTCTAGGAGATTAAAGTAAGCAGCTACAGGGACAGTGGATACACTGGTAGTAATCTTCCCAGAATCCGTAGAATCTGGACAAGTCTCAGACGATTGGAAAACTGCCAATGTAACACCTTTTGTTACTTAAAAAGGGAAGGAAATAAAAACAGATAACAACAGAATAGTTAGCTTAGGATCTGTTATAGGGAAAAGAGAGTCATAGAGTCATAGAGATATAGAGCACGGAAACAGACCCTTCAGTCTGACTTGTCCATGCCAACCAGTCATCCTCAATTAATCTAGTCCCATTTGCCAGCATTTGGACCATATCCCTCTTAAACCGTTGCTATCCATATATCCATCCAGGTGCCTTTTAAATGTTGTAATTATACCAGCCTCTACTACTTCCTCTGGCAGCTCATTCCATACGTGCACCACCCTCTGTGTGAAAAAGATGCCCCTTAGGTCCCTTTTATTTCTTTGCCCTCTCACCCCTCAGCCTCTGATGCTGTAGGGAAAATAGCCCCAGTCTATTCAGCCTCTCCCTATAGCTCCAACCCTCAACCCTGGTAGCATCCTATTATAAAAGATGTAATAGCAGACGATTTAGAAATGCATAATCTAATTAAACAGAGTCAGCATGACTTTATGGAGGTGATATCATGTCTGTCAATGTTATTAGGATTATTTGAGGAGGTTACAAGCAGGATAGATAAAGGGGAAGTAGAGGATGTAATATACTTGGAGTTTCAGAAGGTGTTTGATAAGGTGCCACACATAAGGTTACTTAAAAAAAAAGAGCTTATGGCGTTGGAAGTCATATATTGGCACAGATGGAAGATCGGCTAACTAAATAGAAGTCAAAGACTTGGGATGAGGGCATTTCAGACTGGTAACATGGAACTATTGGTGTGCCACAGGAGTTTGTGCTGATGCCACAGTTATTTATGATGTATGTCAATGACCTGGGTCAGTAAAGTGAATGCACTTTTGCCAAGTTTGCAGATGACACGAAAATATGTGGGTGAGCAAGTGGTGAGGATAGCACAAAGCATCTGTAGAGGGATATAGACAGGTTACGTAAGTGGGCCAAAACTTGGAGATGGAATACGATGTGGGGAACTGTGAGATTATGCATTTTGGCAGGAAGAACAAGGGAACTGAATATTATTTAAATGGAGAAAGAGTGCAGAAAGCTACAGCACAGAGGGATTTGTGATCATTGTCAAAGAATCATGAAAAGCTAGCATCCAAGTTTAGCGGCTAATCAGGAAGTTTGGTCGAATGTTGCCCTTTATCTCAAAGGAAATGAAATATAAAAATAGAGAGGGTTAGCTAAAACTATACAAGGCACTGGTCGGACCATAGCTGGAATAACATGAACAGTTTTGGACCCCTTATCTAAGGAAAAATATATTGGTGTTGAAGGCAGTCTAGGGAATGTTCACAAGGCTGATACTTGAGGGACTGTCTTGAGGATATGTTGATAAGACTCGGCCCGTACTCATTGGAATATAAAAGAATCAGAGTTAAAATTAGTGAAACCGGACAAGATTATTAGAGGAATTGACAGGGTTGATGTGGAAAGGTTATTTCCCCTTGTGGGAGAGTCTAGATCCAGAGGGCCAAATCGCAGCATAAGGGGTCACATATTTAAGATGAGTTGGAATTTCTTTTCACAGAGGATTCTGAATCTGTGGAATTCTTTACTGCAGAGGGCTGTCGAGGCTGTTTCTTGAAGTTCATGCAAGGCTAAGATAGACAGATTTTAATCGGTAAGGGAATCAGGGTTATGGGGAAAAGGCGGGACAGTGGAGTTGACGATTATCAGATCAGCCATGATCATATTGAACGGCAGAGCAGACTTGATGGGCTGAATGGCCTACTTCTGCTCCTAAGTGTCATGGTGTTATAGTTACTGGTCACCATTCTAATTGATACTGAACAGCGAAAGTTCTTTTACCACAATGGGAAATGATTTCCACAATTAAGAAAATGCATTTTGTTACTTTAATACCATCACAAATTTTTAAATTTAAATATCAGTTCCTGCACCTTTGCCAAGGTCACCGTTCGCACCTATTCTTAGGTGTTGGTGACAACCTTGACGCGTCAGTCATTATGGCACAGGAACGGGACAGTCGGTTCCTCACCAGTCCCACTGCCCCGGTCTATCCTTGTTTGTGCCAATAGGATTCATCATCTTGGTTTAGACCACGTTCATAAGTAGAAACACAAACTGCATTAAAAAAATGCTTCTCCTGCCCTTGTTCTTGTCCTATCAGCTAACAGGAGCAACTTTTCTTCTTTACATTCTTGAATCACTGCTCTCCATGTAGTGCAGGTACATCCACTGCGCTGTTAGGAAGGGAATTCAAGAATTTTGAGCTGGTGAGTGTGAGGGAACAATTGTGATGTGATGGAGTTGTAGGTGGTGGTCACTGCAGAGCTACTGTGTTGATGTGGGGCAGGCTGGAAGGTAGGAAGCGGTAAAATCAGGTTATCAAGGGGGTGGAGGGGGAGGTGGATGGAGTGTGAGTTAGTATGATCTGCCAGTGTCTTTATGACAATTCAAGTTTTCACCTAATCTATTCGATCCATTAATGTGTAGAGCAGAGAATAAATCATTTAAGGCCCTCTCCTTCAATATCAGAAAAGATTAACATCCAAAGATGTGCAAGTAAGGGTGGATTGGCCATGCGAAATTGCCCCTGTTGGTCCAGGAGTGTGTAGTTTTGGGTGGATGAGCCATGGGAAACGCAGGAATGGGGTAGGCCTGGGTAGGATGCTCTTCGGAGGGTCGGTGTAGACTCGATGGGTCGAATGGCTTGCTTCCACACTGTGTAGGGTTGTATGATTCTATAAGTTGCGTCAGGTTAACCAAGGCGGGTGGACGCAGTGTGAGCTGGAACGATGAGCCAGCGCTTTGGAAAAGCTTGTGGAGTGTGTCCTGGATCATAGCCTCCGGCCAGAGGGGGCAGTACAGGCGGGCGGGCTGCCTGGGACGCTTGCGCGGCGCCAAGCCTCAGCAGGCAGGCGCAGTGAGACCCGTTCTCTCCTTCACGTTACCCTCTCGCTGGCAGCGGTCCGCTCGGTTTTGATCAGCAGGAGGTATCGAGGCTGCAGGTAACGGGAGAACAGGGCCGCCCGTGGAGGCGGGCGGCGGCGGTGCTGCTGCTGCTGCTGCTGATGAGAGAGATAGAGAAAGAGGGTGTGCTTGGCCTTGGGGTCCGGGAGCCTGCGTGCGAGCCAAGGCCTTGCCCAAGGCCCCCACCCCGGGGCTGGGTGTTGTCCCGCCGCCCGCTCCACACGGAGCATTGAGGGAGGGAGGGATTGACCTCCAAATTTGGGGGTGGAGGAGTTCTCCACCTGCACCCCGCCCCCTTCAAATACCTTCCACCCAATTGAAGCCCCACCCCATCCCCCCACCTCTGCTTGCAGTTTCCAAGAGAAGTTGGATGGACAAAAAGGTGACCTTGTCAAGGCAGAGGATTATAATATGCATACCTTTTTCACAATGCGGGGGCTAGGCTGAGCTGTCTGTACTCGCTGCTGAAGGACGCGCTCCGGCTTGTCCTTTGGACATTGACCCAAACCTGCCCCCATGACGCCTTCTCTGGCTCAAAGTTAATCATCGGCATCTGCCATGATTTATGAGTGCAAACTGGGCACTTTCTAGATATTGTCTAACTAGATTGTTCAGGGATGTTGTTCCTGTATGCTCCTATGGAGCAGGTGGGACTTGAACCCAGACCCCCTAGCTCAGAGGAGTGGACAGTTTCTATGTTAGATGGCCAATACCTGCACCTAATCATGCTAATTGAAAACAGTTTTCCCTGCATCACACATTCCGCAGTCTGTGAACATCCTGAGTTAGCTGCAGCAAAATGCCACTTACACACCCTCCAATCAGAGTCCCAGGGCAAATACAGCACAGGGAAACACTCTCTCTTCACTGACAGCCATCAAACACTCCCAATACAATGAAATAATGTCACACACTTGACTACAGGTTGTCTCGGAGGCAAGTTCATTGAGGTACCATCCTGTGGCGTTTCAGAGCAATATTTGCTAGTGTTGTGGAATTTTTATGTTGTAGTGCCATTACCAAACTGTTGCCTAATCTCCTCTAACCTTGAACTCGGAGGTAGCAGACAGTTAAGTATCACCGTCAGTCAGCACTGGAATTGAACTGGTGGAAACAGCCTATTGTCTACCTCAATCTGCCACCAGATTACCTCCTTGACCTGCTAACGCTGGCTGAGCGACTACAGTGTGTCCTATAGACCTAGATGCATAAGAAACACTGCGGTGTCTGTGCTGTTTTAGGTTTTGTTCAAATGAACTTTGTAGAGACTGTAGTACCTATCTTCTTGTTAAATCCTACTGCTAGAATGCAGGACTTGGCTGAGTGAAGAGATTTTGCACCCAGCGTTACTCATGCAGACTTTGTAGTAAAAGCAATGTGTGCTGTCTGTAGTCTAGTTGAAGCTCAATTTAACAAAACCCTTAACAAATATAATCATCTCTTGCCAATTCATCAATATTGTATTTGGTGAGAGTTATAAAGAAACATTGGGTAGACCAGGATACTGCTCAGAGATGGCGGAGAACTAGCTCGGTGAGTTATTAGGAGCAAATTGTCTCGCCTGAATTTGAGAGTTTACTTTAACTTGTGAGAATCTTAACATTTTTCAGTGTGTATTGCTCGGGTTGGTCTCCTTTGAAATGTTAGAATTTGGCTCTTTACTGATCAGTATGAGATGCTTAAAGATTTAATTGGGTCTTTGTAGGCACATTGCTGTGATATTTGCCCAGCGCTGGGGGGGTTGTATGTGTGTCAGATTACTCTACTGCAAGGTGGCGATCTGTAAACGATACATTGTCACCCTTGAGGCTACTAGTGTTGTGTAACATTGGCACAGATCAGTGAGTGGTGTTGGAGTGGAGGAGGCAGCTTAACTGACCCAAAGAAGTGTATTACATAACAGTATTCTATTTGGTTGAGGTCTCTTAATGCTGCAGGGGGAGAAATTTCATTATTTGCTGCAAATTGTGCCATTAAGTTACATTGTCATAGTGTGTTGGATCTTATTAAGATGCATTGGTGTCAGTGTACCAGACTCTCTGAGTCTGGTAGTAATATTGAGAAAGATGTGTGACATATGTCACTTGAAGCACTGAGGTTTGCAAGTCATCGGGCAGCTGTCTGTTGATCTTTGTATTCTGAAATTTTACCATGACATAAACATGAGCAAAACCCTGGCTTCGTGTTGTGCTTCCTGCAGTAAGAATTGAAGTTGTAGTAATTTTGTGTTGGTGCCTAATGATTTGTCTCCTTTCCAAAGGCAGAATGTCTGTGCCACCGTCATATGCAGACTTGGGGAAGTCCAGTCGGGACCTCTTCACGAAAGGATATGGTGAGCAGCCTTTCTTCCTCTCTGAATTCTATAGAAACTCCTCTCAGAATCATGCGTTAGTTAGATAAATGTGACGTTGCGAAATGATGGGTGTAGTCATGATATGAGAATCTGGCAGCTGATTTCATCTGAAAAAGAAATGTAATTTGCATTCTTGCAATATATGAACTTGTCTCTGAAATCTCTCATATAATAAAGGATGCTGACTCCTTAATAAGAATACCTAGCACCTGAACATGAATGAAAAATGGGGTAAAATACCCCTCTTGTATCCCAAGAATCCTTTCAGGTATACCTCAGCTAAATGCTGAAGTAAATAAATTGTTACGTTTGTTGCCTGGAAACCTTTCTACGTCTGAGCACCAGTGACAGTTACCCACCCAGCAATAGAAGCAGAGAGCAATTGCGATCTGATATGGTCTGGAAAGGAACGCAGTGGGAATATGAGATAGTAGGAACTGCAGATGCTGGAGAATCCGAGACAACGAGGTGCAGGGCTGGATGAACACAGCAGGCCAAGCAGCATCATAGGAGCAGAAAGGCTGACGTTTCGGGCCTAGACCCTTCATCAGAAAAGGGGGAGGGGAGGGGGGTTCTGAAATAAATAGGGAGAGAGTGGGAGGCGGAAAGAAGATGGATAGAGGAGAGGATAGGTGGAGAGGAAACAAACAGGTCGAAGAGGCGGGGATGGAGCCAGTAAAGGTGAGTGTAGGTGGGGAGTTAGGGAGGGGATAAGCGGTGGGAATATCACTTGATTTTCAATGACTCCCGAAAGTGGCTGTGTATGTGTTTTCTGTAGTGTTCACAGTGCTTGTTGGCTCTTGAACTTCAAATTATTATTGATACTCAGATTTCTGAGTTTAGTGATCAGCTGCTCATGTTCCTTGGTTCTGAGACAGTGCATCTGAAACCATGCAAAATAACATGCTGCGCTGCTCTGCTCCCTCCATTGTAACCCAGAAAAAGGGTTCACGAACTGCGGCCAGATTCATTCATAAGCTTGCTTTGTGATGCAACAGGAGTTGGCTGTTCAATCCCGTTCAGTTTGGTACGTTGATCAGTCCCTTGTTTCTTGCTCCAATGTCGATAATGCTGTTGCTTTCTGGGTAAACGTCTTGCTCCCTTTCAACACCTAAGGAGAACACACTCTTTGATTTGGTCTCTGCTTAGATCAAAAATTAAGATTTTTACCCTTCCTTTGGATTCCCATTTGAGAGGGAAGAATTGTCTTCCATGTCTCATGCTGATTTCTATTCTAATATTGTGTCTCAGCTGGATAATCCACTAAGTCTATCTAATATCTACTGTGAATCCACCTTGAACTCATGACTTCCCGTTACTGTGGAGGCTGAAATGATTCCTAGAGTCATACATCGCAGAAACAGACCTTTCAGTCCAACTTGTCCATGCTGACCTGATATCCTAAATAAATCTAGTCCCATTTGGCCGCATCCCTCTAAACCCTCCTATTCATGTACCCATTCAGGTGCCTTTTAAATGTAACTGTACCAGCCTCCACCATTTCCTCTGGCAGCTCTTTCGGCGCAAGCTTGGAGGGCCGAAGGGCCTGTTCCTGTGCTGTAATCTTCTTTGTTCTTTGTATTCCATACATGCGCCACCCTCTGTGTGAAAAAATTGCCCCCTAGGTCCCTTTTACTTCTTTGCCCTCTCTCACCTTAAACCTATGCCCTCTAGTTTTGGACTCCCACAGCCCAGGAAAAAGAGCTTGCCCATTCACCCTATCCTTTCCCTTTGTGATTTTATAACGTCTACAAGGTCACCCCACAGCCTCTGATGCTCCCGGAAAATAGCCCCAGTATATTCAGCCTCTCCCTTTAGCTCCAACCCTCCAACCCTCCAACCCTGGCTATAGCCTCATAAAATTTTTTCTGAACCCTTTCAAGTTTCACAACATCCCTCCTATAGCGTGGAGACCAGAACTGCACACAGTATTCCAAAAGTGGCCTAACCAATGTCCTGTACAGCTGCAATATGACCTCCCAACTCCCATACTCAAAGCACTGACCAGTAAAGGCAAGTCTACCAAATGCTTTCTTCATTATCCTATCTACCTGCAACTCCATTTTCAAGGAACTGTGAACCTGCACTACAAAGTTTCATTGTTCAGCAATAGTTCCCAGGACCACAAGTCCAGCCCTGATTTGCCTTTCCAAATTGCAGCACCTCACGTTTATCTAAATTAAACTCCATCTGCCACTCCTCAGTTCAATGGCCCATCTGATCAAGATCCTGTCGTAATCTGAGGTAACCTTCTTCGCTGTCCACCACTCCTCCAATTTTAGTGTCATCTTCAAAGTTACTAACCATACCTCCTACGTTCACATCCAAATCATTTATATAAATGGTGAAAAGCAGCGGACCCAGCACCGATTCTTGTGGCACACTGCTGGTCACAGGTCTTCGGTCTGAAAAGCAATCCTCCACCACCACCCCCTGCCTTCTATGTTTGAGCCTGTTCTGTATCCAAATACTTAGTTCTCCCCTTGTTCTGTGTGATCTAACCTTGCTAATCAGTCTACCATGAGGAACCTTGTCAAATGCCTTACTGCAGTCCATGTAGATTACAGCCACTGTTATGCCCTTGTCAATCCTCTTTGTTACTTCTTCAGAAAACTCAATTTAGTGAGACACGATTTCCCACATAGAGCCATGTTGAATGTCTCTAATCAGTCCTTGCCTTTCCAAATACATGTAAACCTTATTAGAACATAGAACAGTACAGCACAATACAGGCCCTTCGGCCCACGATGTTGTGCCGAACTTTTATCCTAATCCTAAGGTCTATCTAACCTCCACCCCTACCTTATACTATCATCCATATGCCTATCTAATAGCCGCTTAAATGCCCCTAATGAGGCCGACTCCATTACCCTCTCCGGCAATGCATTCCACGTCCCAACCACTCTCTGAGTATGGAACCTACCTCTGACGTCTCCCCTATATCTGCCTCCACTCACTGTAAAACAATGCCCCCTCGTAATAGCTACCTCCACCCTAGGAAAAAGTCTCTGGCTGTCCACTCTATCTATACCTCTGATCATTTTGTATACCTCTGATCATTTTGTACACCTCTGTCGAGTCACCTCTCGTCCTTTGTCGTTCTAAAGAGAAAAGCCCCAGCTCTCTCAACCTTTTCTCATAAGACCTTCCCTCCATTCCAGGCAA